TTTCATCTACAATTGTCTGTTACATTATAGTTTACGGAATACTGTTCTTGGTAAAGTTCCACATACAAATGGATGCTTTACTAGAGAGTAGGTACCTAATAGTTTTTTTACAGAATATATTAGGATTTTTGTATATTGTAGTTCCAGTTTCCAGTTTAATAATTTTACAAAATAGAAGTTTAATTCATATATACATTCATTACCAAGAGCCCTAGATATATTGGTTTTATGGGTACCGTAACAAAAATGTTTATATGGAGCGTTGGACGCTAGTGTAACAAAAATATGCCTGTGTAATGTAACACAAGTATTTAAGGTACTGTAACAAATTTACAACAGAGAGGCAATGTAACAAAAAAACAAATAAATTAAATCTGGCTAGCAGAATGTACCGTAGAGTGATACTTGACACTTAAAAGAGGATTCGGCCAATTTGCATGCCCTACAGAGATCGTAAAATGGCAAAATTAATGACAAGGTAGTAAAAAAATATATAGAAATAATACAAATAAAAGTGATAAACTATGAAAATCATTCCAAGATGTGATTGGGCGCCAGGAAAGTATTAACATATCCAAGGTATCTTGTAAAGCTTTTTGCTGAAATAAAAAGGAAACCAGGTATTAATTGAAATATTTAGTCTTCACCACACATTTAATACCTATCCAAATATATACAATCTAATATTATATGCTAACCACCACCTAGTATGTACAGTTAACCTAGTTACTAATATACTAAAAAAATCCCTGATTATACACAAGTGATCCTGGATCAAGGGAGGGAGGTCTTTCCGGCTGGTTCCCTGAAGTTGTTCGAGAATAGTCTTAAAGAGATCTGGACCTCTAAAGAAACAGCTAAAGGTGACGGCAAAGTCCCTTCTTACGCTTAATAAAAAGATGTTACAAAATAGTTACTGGGAAGTTTGTATCAAAGCAAAAAGGTCTAATGAGATTTTGTAGATAATGTAACCGTAACCTTCGCATAGTTTGACAATATTTCATGTAAAATATATTGATTAAATAGATAATTTTAATGAAAAGCATGCTATGGATAATAATTTATAACATAAAAGAACGGTATAAGACAGAATATTTTTATAGATACTCTTAATAGATAATAGATAGTTTTAAAGATAAATAATTATATAAAATCCAGAAGGAAAATAATTCCTGCAGCTGGCTGTATACCACGTATCACAAAAAAGAGGTTAGATCTTTGTAAATGGGTATATTTAAAAACCCTTAAAAGGGGTACATCAATTACACGAACGTTTTCGGAATAAAAATTCCATCATCAGGTTTAAATTGCAAATTGACATGCCTGAGCCACCAAAATATAAAGGGTAAAAACCCTTTAAATACATATGTTTGCTAAAGATTGTACATAATGTTGTTAATCACATTTGATGTTTGATATTAATTTAAATTTGACTTCAGGTAACATACACCCATGTTTCAGGCGAGTTCCAGTGGCCGGAGAGTAAACCTCTTCAAACAGGCTCCAGCTGGTAACAGTTACCAGCTCCTCAAGCTCGAAGATTTATTGATTTTCAGACCAACTTTATTGCTTTCGTACTCAGTTCTTCGCAGGAGATTAAACATGTCTTGCTCATTTGCTGCTATAAGTGTAGTGTCATCAGCAAATTTTTACTTGGAGATTTTTTTACACGCACAATTTTTTTGTTGAATGTTAAATGTTGAAGAAGTCAGGTGACACGCATCCTTGTTTAACACCTCTCTCGGTCTCGAATTGGTTTGAGAACTTCTGATCTAGTCGTACTGTTGCTATATTGGACTGTAGGTTTGTGTGTGTAGCGGGATATAAATTGAGCTACACCAATCAGCTGGACTTTTTTCCTGAATTCCAAACAGCGACACAGTTAGAGTGGATTGTAATCCTTTGTTAACTAGTAACTGTAGTATTTCACCTGGTATCGAATTAATACCTGGGGATTTATTTTTTTTACCGATTTAATTACATCTTTGATTTCAGCGAGTAAGACAGTAGGTTCTCTAGGGTATTCAGAGGGCCACTGATTTTCTGCTGGTACCTCGTTATTTTTATATAGCTCACCATAATAGTTTTGCGAAGTTTCCAATAATTCGTCAGTATCGGCATTTAGATTACCTTTTTTATCTATTACAAACCACGTTTGATCTCCTCTGGTAAGGAGTTTGATCTTCTGAATAAATCCCTCGGTTTATATGGACAGTCATGTTTCTCTATCTCTCTGCATATTTGACAGATGTAGTCAGCTTTGTCTTTGCGGCACTGTTTTGTGATTTCTTTCGATAATGCTCTGTATTCATCGTTTGATCCGTATCTGGTTTTATGTTCTTTTCTGCGTTAAATCACAGTTCACGTATTATCGGATATCCACGGCTTACGGCCCGTGGAAACCGCTGCCTCACAATCTTTGTCAGCCTCAAATACCTTATCTTTGAAATAGATCCAAGTGCTCTCAGGGTCACTATCTACTTGGTCCAAAAAAAAAACTTCTAGATTTTGTTAGAAGTCAATGGTTTTTCATGGATTTAAAGACGTGACTTTTTGTAGGAGTCTTCTTTTGGGGGTTCAATAATCTACTCGTATGTTTATACAGAAAGGTTTTTAATAATACAATATGAAGTTTAAATTATTTTAATTCGATAGGTTTTAGAGTAGTTCTCAATAATTAATTGTTTTAGTTCGAATTTAAATCTTCCTAGTTGACCCTCAATATTACTGAGCGACTTGTTATATAAGATCAGACCATTTGAGCATTAGCTTCTTTGCGTACCAGAAGTTCGCATTCTTCCTGTACGAAAAGTACTCTTTTTTCCAGTATGAGACAGTTAGTAGTTGAGAAAGCTTGGTCAGTACAGATCTTCTATTGGATGAAGTCGTGGCAGTTGAAAAACATATTTTAATAGCTCTGTTGCTAGGGAGACATAAGTTCAACCTGGAGCTATTTTATTATATATCTGTAATATGTGTGGTTCCCGAGCAAGTCGTTTATCTATATACAATCCGAGATACTTAATCGTCTCCTTTTTTATTAAATTTGAATTTTCCTAAGTTCAACTGCATCTGCCTAAGTTCTATGTGCATCTACTTTTGAAAATATGTAGAGCCACTCATCCATTTCTATTAAGGCATTTTCTACATCCGTTTTTAAGTTTCTGGGATCTTTATTGGTATACAAAAACACCAGTGACGGTCCCACTGAAATCGGAGCAGTACAATTAATTTAATATAAAAACTACCATTGATAAAGCATTTTATCCCTTCTGTGACTAGATTATTTAAACAATTTACTAATATAAAAATTGTTCAATATAATGTATTAGAAAATGGACAACAACTCTGTATAAAACTAATGTAATCTTTAGTTACCTTGCTCAGATTATTAAAGTTGTTATGTCGGTCAAACTTTACCATATCTTAAACAGAGAATAACACAACACAAAAGTTACTGTACCAAAAAGAAAAATACATCTGCGGCAGTTGACCACCATTTAAAATCTGAGCACCATTGTGACTACCCAAATGTCAGGGCTACCCAAATGACTACCCAAAAGGCAAGAAAATAGTTACAATAAAAGATTGTTTTGTAAATGTGCCACACCAATAAAAAAAATACTCAATAAATTACAGGGCAGACACGGAATAGTTAAGCAATATCTACTGTAATATTCTAAATAATTTAAATTTATTTTATTGTACAAACAATTAAACATTTTAACCATCTTGTATATTTTTAACATCTACAAAACTGAATATTTCTATTGATTTTTTAATATGTACTAATATGTTTTTTTAAGTTAGCTTTTCGTGTTTTCTAATCACTAATTATTATAATTATTCACTTAAGAAGTAATATTTTCTGTCAGTACTGTTTTAAATATGCAAATGATTAAAAATACTCTTAATTCTGTAAGTTTAATCATTTATAACATCGTACTTTTTATTATTTATAACAAATCTACAATAGACCGCATACCTGCTAATCGCTAAAAAATTAATTACACACACACACACACACACACACACACACACACACACACACACACACACACACACACACACACACACACACACACACACACACACACACACACACACATATATATATATATATATATATATATATATATATATATATATATATAGATATATATATATATATATATATGTATATATATATAAAAGGTAAAAGATATCGGCATAGCTCGCAACACAGGAAAAAAATAATAAAATATGTTTGTGTATGTATAATATAAGATGGAAGGCAACCATATATACGTATTTCTGACTATTGGTCGTCTTCAGTACGGTGCAGTTAAGTTAGAAAAGGAGTATATTAACTTGGGAAAGGATCACTACAGGAGTAATGCGACCAATTTGTGGCAATAATGTTAGAAGACTCTGAGGAAGGTAAACTACCTGAGGAAAGGAATGAAAAACGTTTAGAACGTTTCAAACAACAAAAAAAAGGTTAATGCGAGTTGATAGTACAATAAAGGTAAAAGATATCGGCATATCTCGCAACAAAGGAAAAAACTATAATAAAACATGTGTTCTTTCTCCGTGGATGTGTTGTTTGTTGGTCTGGAAACCTCAGAGTCTTCTAACATTATTGCCACAAATTGATTGCATTACTCCTGTAGTGATATTTTCCCAAGTTAATATGCTCATTTTCTAACTTGGCTGCACCGTACTGAAGACGACCAATAGTCAGAAATACATATATACGGTTGCCTTCCATCGTATACACATGTTTTATTATATTTTTTTTCTCTGTTGCGAGATATGCCGATATTTTTTACCTTTATTTTACCTCCTATATACATTTTTAATTTTTGACCATGTCATCTTCACTCAACAAGTAAAAGTAACAGAATTTTTATTGTATATTGTAAAGTTTATTTTACGCCACAAAAATTAACATTCCTATCCAAAATGCTTCTAAGATAATTAAAGAAGGGACAGTAATTGAATTTATATTTACTTTCCAGACTTTGGCAATGATCGAATCCAACCTGCTGCCGAACCGCACGACGTGTCTAGAATGCAAGTAAGTTTATTTTACTCTAATTTTACACAGCAACCGCAGAGTCCAGAAAGAACTCGTCTGTGGAAGAAATTTATTCCAAGACTCTGGTGTCTGCGCACTTGTAACCAATTACTTTAGAATGTTTATTTCCATTTAAATATCTTTAAAAAATTTTAAACATCTTTGTTTTAGACATATTAAGAATAAATTGTAGTAACCCTATTATAGCAATTCTTTAATCTAGAAATGGAATATTATTTAATATTTTCTTTTAATTTCATTTCATTACCGAATTAATAAATATGTTGATATTAATTTAATATAAAAAAGGGGGGTTCGATTCTAAAAGATATATATATATATATATATATATATATATATATATATATGTGTGTGTGTTATCCTATCAATAAGGAAGCTCTTATATTAATTAATATGACGTTTTTATTAATATTTATTAAAAACATTACCCTTATTGTTTTTTAACAGTTTTTTCAACAAGTAAATTTTCAACAGTAAAAAAAAATTCACTAAATCCTGGCTATGCATTCACTTATGTCTATACCCTGGAATCTTATATGAATGACCTTGGTTCATTGCCCTATTACTTTAACCCATCGAGCAAAAAGACAAAAGAGGGAATCTAATCCTTATGAAAAGGAGACCAAAAAAGTGGCCTCGGCGGACATATCCGGAAATGCGAATGCGCCAAATTTAAATTTTCCGACACTTATCAACAGTGGCTATATAATATTTTTTAGAATGTGTCTTAGACGAGAAAGTTTTTATTAATTATTAACGATAATAGTCTAAAATGCGACACAATTGTTAAAAAACTCCAATATAAATAAGATTTCATGTGACATTTAGGACAAACAGTAACATAACCCAACTAAATTTGATGTGAAACAATGAGAGAGACTCTCTTCCCTTGTTTAATGTGGCCTCTAAAGATCACACTTTCTGTCTAACAATATGTTTGCCCCCCACTACCTTTACATTCCCTCTTTTGTCTTTTTGCTCGATGCTTTAACCCCAGCGAGTTAATAAAGAGAAATGACAGCCTATCTCTCTCACGAACACTTTAACCAATCATTTATTTTAACACCGTCTCGGGGTGTCAATAAAATAATCAAACGAAGCTTAATTCCGCAATGTCAATTCTGTCCGCGATGTCAAATCTTCCGCTTGTTTACAAGTTTTCAATTTTATTTTATTATCTTTAACTTTCGTTTGCATTTATTCTTAGTAATTTTAATTTAAGTTGGTTACTAAGTTTGTAAAGTTTAGTTTGAGTTGCCTCTTGTAGCAAATAATGTTTGTGTTTTGCTAGTAAAAAAACTAAACATGGTGAGGTATTGTATTGTTCCGTTGTGTACAAATATTGAAAAAATTACAAAAAAGGTGATGATAGTAAGTTGTTAGGAAGCAAACAATAATAGTATTTAACATTTGTTTCTGAAAATATGTGTAATAAATATTATGTAATTAGTTTATAACTGTTTTATCTTAAACAACAAATAAATATACGTATATCTAGAAAAAATTGTTCATCTTTTATATATCCCTATTTTCCAGTAAATTTTAATTAGTATAGAAATAGCCCGCGAGGCGCTAAAGGGTATGTATGTAAGGGGTGTCCATTCGAATTTGCCGCCAAAAGATGATTAGTATTGACCCCAGCCGCAAGGGGTTCTAATGAACGAAAAATATACATTGAGTTTCCTACCTATTTTTACTATTATATTATTTATCTATGCTTATGTCAATATACGTTAATTTTTTCATAATTACGTTAAATCCAGAGATAGCTTAAAACAATAATATTGTCAATTCAGGTCATATGTATGTAGCATAGATAAATAATATAATATTAGAAATAGATGGGCAACTCAGTGTATAAATTTCGTTCATTAGGACCCCTTGCGGCTGGGGTCATTACTAATCATCTTTTGGTGGAAAATTCAAATGGACACATCTTACATACATACCCTTTAGCGCCTCTTGTGGGCTATTTCGTTACTAATTAAAATTTACTGGAAAATATCTTATTATTTTCCGATGACATAATCTTACATATATAAAAAATGCACAATTTTTTCTAGATATACGTATATTTATTTGTTTATTTATTTTCAGAAACAAATGATAAATACTATTATTGTTTGATTCCTGACAACTTACTATCATCATCCTTTTTGTAATTTTTCCATGATTTGTACACAACGGAACAGTACAATAATTCACCATGTTTAGTTTTTTTACTAGCACAACACAAAAATTATTTGCTACAATAGGTAACTCAAACTAAACTTTGCAAACTAAGTAACCAACTTAAATTAAAATTACAAAGAATAAATGCAAACAAAAGTTAAGATAATAAAAATAAAATTGAAAACTTTTAAACAAACGGAAAAGCTGTCATTACTTTTGACAGAATTGACATTGCGGAATTAAGCTTCATTTGATTATTTTATTGACACCCCGAGATTGTGTTAAAATAAATGATTGGTTAAAGTCTTCGTGAGAGAGATAGGCTATCATTTCTCTTTATTAACTGCCTTGGGTCAAAGTGATGGGGGACTGTTCTAAGATCATGCATATAAGTTTGCGTGGCATGTTTTTGTAGTTTGTGGATTGTAGAATGGGTCGAGATAAAGTTATCGATGAGAAAATTTGTTCAATTATTATTAGATTTTTTAATTCTGGAAAATCATCATCATCATCATATAACGGGGGTCCTACGGCGATTGCCGCTTCCCGCATTTCAGCCTCCATCTTTTCCTATCTCTCCAATCTCCCTCTTCTAAGCCTCTAGATTGCATTGTTTTTGTAATTTCTCTTCTCCAGGAATTTGGTGGTCTTCCCCTTTTCCTTCTTTCTGGCGGAACATGCATTAAGGCTTTCTTTGGCCACCGCTCCTCCTCCATTCTCATCACGTGACCATACCATTGTAATTGCCTTCCTTGTATTCTATCTGAAAGAGTATCTCTAATTCCTGTACGGTTTCGTATTTCATCATTCCTGATTCTTTCCATTCTCGATACTCGACATGACCTTCTAAGATAATCCATTTCCACAACGTCTACTTTATCTCGTTCATTCTTTGTCATCGTCCAACATTCGGCACCATATGTGGTAATTGGTTCTACAATTGCTCTGTATACGCGAAGTTTGGTATACATCTTTATTTTATTAGACCACAGTAATGAATTCAGTATTCGGATGCATTTTTTCCCTTGGGTTATTCGGTTTTGTACATCTATCTTAACTCTGCCATCTGCTGATATGATGCTTCCTAGATATTTATACTGGTTGCAGCCTTTTATGACTGCGTTTTCAAGCCTCAGATCTGTGGTATTTCCTCCAATTTTTAAATATTCTGTTTTGCTTATGTTTACAGTAAGCCCCCATTTGGCATATTCCTCAAATAATTTTCGATTCATATAATTTATATCTTCCTCATCGGTTGCAACCACCACCTGATCATCTGCAAACAACAATGTATACAGAGTTTCTTGTCCCACTTCGATGCCCATAAATCTACATTTATTTCTCCAATTCCTCAATGCTTCTTGGACGTATATTTTAAAGAGTGTCGGTGACAAACAGCATCCTTGCTTTAGGCCTTTAGTGACTTTAAATTCATTTGAGGTTCTGGTTCCAATTTTTACACAACTAACTGCATTTTCGTACAATTTATATATCGCTCGGATATACGTCGAATCCAATCCGGACCTTTTGAGGACCTCAAACATTTTCTTTAACGGGACACTATCATATGCTTTCTCAAGGTCTATAAATACCAAATGGGTCTCTCTACTTCTTTCGACACGCTTTTCAATTATTTGTCGTAGGATAAATATATTATCAAGGCAGGATCTCCGGTACGAAAGCCGCTTTGTTCTTCAATATCTTGTATCTGTCTTTCAACCCTCTTCTTTAATATTCTGCCGTACAACCGGCCCACAGAGCTCGTCACACTAATACCTCTATAATTGGAACAGTCTCTTTTATTCCCTCTCTTATATATGGAGCTTATATAAGATTTATTCCAATCTTTAGGAATTTCCTGGTCTCCACACATACATTTATTGAAAAGGTCTACTATTAATTCTAAAAGTGCAGTCGGCCCATATTTAACCAGCTCTATGGGAATGTCTCCAGGCCTGCGGCTTTTCCGTTTTTAACCTCTTTTAAGGTTTCCGTCAATTCAGATAATGTTATTATAGGGATTTCCTGTCTTTCGTCTCTGTTGTCTATTAATTCCCTTATCTTTTCCCATCTGTACTCTACTCTATCCTCTTTCAGCAGTTTCGTATAATATTCTTCCCATTCATTTAACTTTATGAGAGAAATGTTGTCTTCATTTTTCTCATTTTTCCTAAACTGTTTTAATGTTTTCCAAGCTTGCGCCACTTTTGTTCCACCCATAAATCTGTCCAGTTCATCACACTTAGCCTCCCAGTTTATATTTTTCGCCTTATCCACGTCTTTTTTAACTTCTCTATTCCATTTAGCGTATATTTCTCTGTCTTGAGGATCTTTGGATTGAAGCCATATGTGATATGCTTGTTTTTTCTTGAGAACTTTCTCTTCTAGTTCCGTTGACAATCATTCAGGTTTTCCTTTTTTCCGATTTTCAACTTTTCCCAGTGCTTCATTTGCCGCCTTATGAATATATTTTTTAATTACCTCATACAGACTTTCGGGGTCTAAGTCCTTTGTTTCTATATTTTTTATTTTCTGAGCTATTCTAATTTTATATAAGAACTTTGTCGAATCTTGTTTAAAGCTTTCCAGGTTATATTTTATGTTTTCTATGGTTGTTCCTATGTCTGTTACTTTTCATTCATCATTTTTTTCATTCATTCATTATTTTTGTGACTTGATTGTTCTCTCTTAAATGTCACCATTACTTTTGCAATAATCATATGGTGGTCACTTCCACATTCTGGCCCTCTAAACACCTTCACGTCCTTCGTTTTTAGTTTAGAATCTTTACGATGAATGAAATATTC